ATGGCATAATGAATATGCAGTATTTTAAGGGAAGTTACCTCTTCATAAAATCATACTGTTAAAAATGGTTACAGCAAGTTTGGAAGACAAATCAAGGAACCAAAGAAATTGACAGATTACAAGCACACTGTCAACTCTGGTTCTTGCATATGATTATTCTTGTTAGCCTAGTGTACTTGAATAGGTCATTTTAGTTTCTCCCAGTATCTTATTGTGTACCTGTTATTGGATTGTACATTTTATTAATTAGTAAGTTGCTGGATTGCATTAATAACCAAAAGAATTGTGTCTAGTAACCTATGGAGGACGACCTCTGAAGAGAAGAGAGAACTTGAACGGCTACAAAAACCTATGTACAACACGATTCGCCGAGCTGCAGAAGTTCATAGGCAGGTTTGAGTTTTTTCCCTATTACCACTAAAAGGTTGTCAGATCAAAACTTTGGTTGATTTTCTGGGAAGTACATGGGTTGTTTTGTTTTCTAGTCTTCATAATATATCGTTGTGGTGCTTAGGTCCGAAAATATATGAGGAGTATTTTGAAGCCTGGAATGTTAATGATTGACCTATGTGAAACCTTGGAGAATATGGTAAGGCGACTGATCAAAGAGAATGGTCTCCAAGCAGGCATTGCCTTTCCAACTGGATGTTCTCTTAACTGGTAAAACATTTTCAGGATTCTCATCAATTATATTTGTTCCCTTCTAATCTTCTGGCATGAGCTTTCACCAATTACTCTTGTTCTTCTAGGGTCGCAGCCCACTGGACTCCAAATTCTGGCGATAGAACTGTACTTCAGTATGATGATGTGATGAAGTTAGATTTTGGAACACATGTTGATGGTAATGCTAACTATTATTTTATTCATACTTGTTTTCTGTCTGCAGCACCATTATCGTACTTTTATTGCTCATAACTAGATATTTTGGAAGAATTTAAAGGCTGGTTCGTTATATAAATTTCATTTCACTGACAATATGTTGCCCTGGTGTCATCTCAGGACATATAGTTGACTGCGCATTTACAGTGGCATTTAATCCCATGTTTAATCCACTTCTTGAAGCTTCTAGAGAAGCTACAAACACTGGAGTTAAGGTAATTTTCTTTGCTCTTCTCTTATCTGTTCAAAATATTTTGTTATTTTACAGGTGAGATTATAGATGCATTAGTTTGGATGTGTGTTGATCTGACAATTACTGAAACATGTTGCTGAGTTGCCACCTGACAGTTAAAACAACTTGAGCTTTGAAGGATCTTTTCATTTAGGAATATGTTAAAGGAAATATTGGCATTCTTGCTTTATGGCATTGACATTCTACTATAAAACCTATATTTGTTGGCTAAAACGTGAAGTCATACTTGAATGAGGGTATTCTTCTGATGCCTATCACCATGAACTGCTGTCGGTAGTTAATTTAATCAGGTTCAGAATTCCCAATCATGCAGTTAAGAATCCTACAGGAATAATAGTCTTTTGATCAAAATGAACATCTTAAATAAGAAAAGGAGACTAGTGGTTCTATTTGACATGCACCATCATTCTCATTTCATTCCTTGTATGATTATTCTGCTAACTAATCCCTAGTGGTTCTCCTTGTGGTTGCAACAGTCTCATGCTAGCACACCCTGTTTCCCACAGATTCAGTTGTGGTTTGTTCAATTTGCATCAAGTCCTCATTTGTTGTTGTTAGGCTGTGGTTTGATCATTTTGGTGACAAGTTACATCGAGCTGGCCTAGCATTTTTATTTAGTGTACTTGTATATTAAACATAGGTTTCTTCCCACCTAGTTGTTCTCCACTTCTCATATCAGTTCAGACCATTCTGTCAAAGCTGATTATTATATATTTTCTTCTAAATGAGCTCTTTCTATATGATGGTTATTTTATGTTCTTAGAATTTTCTTATTTTTTCCACATCCATTTAGGTTTCTTTCTTATTACCTATGTTAAGGATTTCAGTCATTCTGCCATGGAAGGAATCTGTTTGTGAGACCAAGGATGTATCCATATGGCCATTGCCTGATTCCCCAGAACCCAATTTAGCAGAAGCCTGATCCACTTTTCTGTCCTTTTTAGAAAGAGTTGTCTTTGTTGCATAGTGACTAAGCTTCTTTTCGCATTATACATAAATATGCTAATCTTCTAGTCCCATCCCACTTCAACAATCTTTGCATAATTTATCTGGTGATGATGTTTCTCTTCGATACACAGTTTGAATTGTGGAGAATGTGCCTCTTATACAAATTATAGGGTTTCTTGTTTACATGGTAGATTCTGTCATTCTGTCTGTCTCTCTCTTTCTCCAAATGCAGATGCAAAAGGTAATGCTACACATCTGCTTAATCTGTGAAGATGTTGATTCCATGGTTTAATCATTTATCACTACAGGTTTATGGTGCCATGTGTATTTATTCATGTCTGGTCCAATGTCATTAAAAGCTTTCTTAGAAATTTTAGTCCTGTATTTTACTAATTTCCTACCAGAGTTGGTACATCATGGCATGGTGAGCATGTTGTGCTGTGTTACTGGCTTATTAGTGATGCAAGTGCTTAGTATTTGAAACTCGTATTAACTAAGAAGGTAAATTTGCAACACACCTAAAATTTGGTTGCAGAGAATTGTTTTTGGCTGTTATGATGAAATAGTTTACTTCTATTAGTCATGCAATTTTTGGAATATGCATTTTTTTTATTGTTTCTTTGATCTGATAGTTATGTTTGTTTTTACGTATATAGGAAGCTGGGATAGATGTACGGCTGTGTGATGTTGGTGCTGCAATCCAAGAGGTCATGGAATCCTATGAGGTTGAAATCAATGGCAAAGTGTTTCAAGGTATTTTATGATCTCTGTGTCTCATGTTCTTGGTATGCTATAATCTCTTTTTCGTTGTACAATTTTTGTCAATATCTTTTTTCTAAATAGATATTATCTGCTCATCAACATTTTGCTTTCTACTGCAGTTAAAAGTGTGCGAAACTTGAATGGCCACAGCATTGGCCCATACCAAATTCATGCTGGAAAGTCTGTTCCAATTGTCAAGGGTGGAGAGCAAACAAAAATGGAGGAGGGAGAATTTTTTGCAATTGAAACATTTGCATCAACAGGTGAATAAATGCCTACTGCTGCATTCTTTGGAGTTCTATTGTTTGAGATGTTCAAGTGTACTTTATATCTGGAGTCTGGATGTACTCTTAATGTTTAGTTTGAATCTTCAAATTATATTTGCTGCAAGTCGTAATTGCTTCGTGTTGGACCTTTAGTTTCTGTTGCAGCTAAGACAGGTTGGAGTCTGAATTGGACTCGGATGCTAAATTTGCATATAAGCAATAAATGAGTTGGTCACAGCCAGCCTTGTTTATACTTGACAAAATTAGATGTGTTAACTTGTACATACATGTCATCATGTAGGGAAGGGCTACGTCAGAGAGGACTTGGAGTGCAGCCATTACATGAAAAACTTTGATGTAGGACACATTCCGTTAAGGTTGCCTCGTGCAAAGCAACTTCTTGCTACAATCAACAAACAATTTTCAACACTGGCCTTTTGCCGCCGTTACTTAGACCGTCTGGGAGAGACCAAGTATCTTATGGCACTGAAAAACTTGTGCGATGCTGGTATAGTGCAGGTAATTTTAACATTATGTATATTCCTAAATATGATAAGTCATGATCACTTGGTGCAGTGGTAGTGTTTTTTATGTCCTGAATGTTTTTGACAATGAGGGAGTTGATTTGGCAATGTTGTGGGCCTTCATCTATGCTTAGTTTGTTTTGATACTTGGCATTTCCGTTGGTTAGTGAAGGCACTGATTTATTCTTGTCTTAGGATCATTACTCGTAGCATGTTGAAGCATGGACTTCCAAGTTGGAATTCAGAGTATTAGAGTGCAGTATTTACACTTGGGGCTAGCCCATATTAGCCCATAATTAATGGTACAATATTCACATTGCTGTAATTTTCAAGTATTGTCCTGGTCGAACCTATATAAAATACCGAAATCATCATCATCATCCTACCTTGTTGAATATAATCAGAAACCTACGAAGTTTAAAATGATTGCTTTGTTAGTTCTTGTTTGCAACGAGCATATTTATTTTAATCGATAACATAATGTGAATACTTTATTGTATTGAAAATTTTGAACTTTTTGGGTGGATTTTGTATTAGTAATTTTGCTTGCGTGCTGTTTATGTCACTGAGAGCCCTTTTGTAAATTTTCTTTTTATACATTTAACTGTGAAACTCTCCTTGATATAATTTTGGGTCCTTTTGCAGCCATATCCGCCTCTGTGTGATGTGAAGGGAAGCTACGTATCACAGTTCGAGCATACCATCTTGCTTCGGCCAACATGTAAAGAAGTCATATCACGAGGCGATGACTACTGAGGATCATAGAAGCTGGTTTCCGTCTATTAAGTCTTGTCAATTCTGCAATCTGGACTCTCTATTTCCATGCCCAAATTAGATGCTTATGTACCACACATTGCTGCTGATATGTTGTGAGTCATGTAAGAATATTTTGCTCAGCCTTGCTCAAACAATTTCATCTTTGTTTGGCTTTTGCAAGTCGCTTGTTGATATTTACTTTCCCTTTATATCAAAGAAGATTTCATGTGCATGTGTAATCGGTATTTTAAGTATAACCAAGCAGATTTAATGTGCATGTATAATTGGTATCTTAAGTTTAGACAACGACATAGATTATTATTTGTTGGTACCTTTGAACGATGGACGGTAAGCCCTTTAGCTTACTCCCCTGCTATAACGTTAGATATCTTTGGTGGGTAATCATGATGCAAATTGGTTATCATAATCTATATATATATATATATATATGTTTATACATAATATTTATAAAGCAACAGTGGGTGGGACTAATCATGTTATTGAAACTGTAAACCTAAATTTTTGCACGGTAGTTTGACTTTCTTTTGTTTTAATCTTCTTTAAAAAAATAAATATATGACCACTGATGTCGTCAAGCGCCCATAACAAATTTATCGGCCCAAAACCACCCCTCTTCTCTTCCCCTTCCCAGTTCACACATCCCTAAATCACCTTTCCACCCTCGTCTCTGATCATCTGGGATCGATATCAACGGCGCAAGCCTTGGATTCGAGATTGGTTATTCTCCGAAAGGTTCGATCTTTTGTTCTTATTTCAGGCGTTTGGAAGATTGTATTCCTTAGGGGAAATGAAAGGATGATAAGAAGCATGACTATGCCGCCAATCGTATAAGATGATTAAAGTTTAGGGATTAAGAGGGCCAGTGCAGTTGTAGAGGACGGGAAGCTATTCCTAGGTGGATCCATCTCTTGCATGTGCCTTTCGGATTGGTGTGCGCACTCTGACATCCGTCTCCTTCGGTTCTGCATTGGAGATAATTTCGTCATGCTGCATTGCTTGTGTTCTCTGGTTTTGTCTATTTAAATCTGGGTTTGGAGCTCATGCTGATTGTTAAATAGAATTCTCCTGCTTGAATTCTCTCTGGTTTTGTCTATTTTAATCTTGGTTTGGAGCTCCTGCTGATTGTTACATAGAATTCTCCTGCTTGAATTCTCTCTGCTGGAAGGTAGTACTTGATTTGCCAGCAATTGGAAGGATTTGGCATCACTGTCAAGTCGGGGATTTTATGATTTTTAGATCTTATATACAAAACATTGGTTTATATTTCTTCGTTGGTTGTTAGATTGGAAATGCTCGAATACCTTTACACTTACCACTTTGGTTGCTGGAAACTCCAGTATTGCAACCACATGAACATTAATGACCTCTCACCAATATTATAATATACTTTCTATTATTTTAGCTGCTTGGCATCTCGCAATACTTTTCATTTTTGACAGTCTCCATGCCAATTACTAATGTACTAATGCTGCTTAATAATGGATCAATTCTTAAGGATACAGAGCTTAAATTTGTGCACCAACATTGTCTCTTATTCACATCACTGAGGTTTACTTGCATTCGTTTGTGGAATCTTAGAATTTTGCCTTACAACTGATTCAGACAAAAAGCTTTTGTATAAAAGTTCAGTTACTGTTCCGTTTAATTGAATTTAAATTTGGTTCTGAATAATATTTCCAGTTGATATGATGGCAACTGAAATCTCATCTAGCTCTTGCTACAGTTAAAAAAATTGGCATGCTTTCTTCTCCATGCATGTTGTCCTATGATCCTAATTTTGTTCCTACAATGCATTGCCACCGTGGTCCATGTGATCAACAAACTTCTGCAAAAGCAAGCTCCAGACATTAGGAGAAGAATAGAATGGCAGGAGAGTGTATTGTTTCTTGCCATGCTTTGGTCTGTGTTTTTGTTCCTTTTGTCAGGTTTGCATCTGTCTTAGTTGACTCAGGATGCGTTTGATGTGCTGAATCACCGTAGTGGCTTGCAACAGTTGATGCAAAATGGTGCTAAAATACTGCTTCTTGTCATGTGACTAGAAGATGCTCATGACAAAGGTCATGATGTCACTTGCATTCATATTTTCTTTTAAATGTTTTGATGCAAATGAGTTGGACTGTGCAATTGCATCTCGAGCCAGATACACCCTTACATCTTCTTTTCCTTGTTCTACATGAGAGTCACGATGCTTCTATACCTTCTTTATGACACAAGTGACATCAAGGAGGTCAAGGGCTTTTCCCGCTTGGTGGAGTGCATCTCGCTGCATGGTCTGCTGCATTTCTGTTTCACCTATCAGTGCCTTGCTCTCCATGATGGCTAAAAGTTGACACTTGAAGAGCATCCGAAAGACTGAATGAAGATAAAGTTTATCTCGAGGAACAATTGAAGTGTCTATGAAGGTAAGAAAAAATGTTATTTATAGGAACTGGAGGTGCAGGCTAGATGCATTCCAGGAAGAGACATGCCGATTGCTTGTCATGCTTATGGCCACTGATATTGCCAATTGGCTAACTAGTTGTGATAGTATATTTTTGGACCCACGTTTGGATCGACAGGTTGCACTGCATTTTCCAGTTTTCTTGTAGCCATATGCTGGCTCTTGGCAGCTCATCAGGTTTGGCTTGGAACTTTGTTCTCCGATTCTTAGTTCTTTGCACGGTGCTGACTTCCTTTTTTTGTCCTAACTAAAAAGGAACAAAAACGATGCTGTGGTTGTGGTAAGGTGTTCTAATAATATCCACATTCTTTGAAAATTATTAATCTACTGCATATTGTTAGAGGAACTCACTACTGCTGTATTATCTGTCTGCAATCAAGATGATATTATAGTATTGCATAGGCAAGCTAACTGTTTTCTGCCAATGGGTCATTTGCAGGTTGCTTGATTTGGAAACTGTTGTTAGGTCATGAGTCTATTTCTCTGAGAATTTGCTATGGTGGAGCTTACTGAGGAAGCAGACATTCAAGTTAAAATATCAATCATGCATTAGTTCTGTACAAACATGGATATTGCAAGAGTATCTAAAAAAGAAAGAAAGCAAGTTGCATCCGAATCAGTTACTGAAGTTATTATCCATCCATGGTTGGGATGTAAAACTACAGAGGTAATGACTTTGTGAATCAGGTGGGGCCTACCAGTGCTCACTTTCAGTGGAATTTTAGTTGTTGAGTGGAAGAGATCATTAATCGTGTCTTCAAATTCTTGTAGTATTTGTTACTTTGAAATCATGCAGGTGAAATTTACATGAACTTCATTACATGGTTTCTGCTTTTCTCAAGCCTCTCAAATGTTTTCTACCACTGCAATGGTTTTGTGCTTTAACCATCTAAGAATCCATGAAAACAGATGCATTATTGAGTATAAGAGAAATGGCAAGGAGCAGCTGTCATGGGGGCTCACAGCAGCTTTCATATGGTCACAAAGCAACTCTGACTCTCCACATGCATTGGCAAGCACCAGAGACCTACTATTTCATCTGGTAGTGTGGTGTGGTATCAAAATGGTCCACTCTATTCCCTATATCTTGTTATTTGAAAGTAGGTACACTGAATGTTTATCGATCAACCTCTTCTCTTCCAAGCGAAGGCACTCGAATCTATTTCTACCTGCAATGTTTTACAAGCTACAGGCAATCACTGTCTTATTTGAAGATAGGGTGTTTTGCTTAATTATGCATTGAAAATTTTTAATTCCTACCTTCTTGCTCCTTTTCCTTAAATCTGCTACTTGACTTGATCAGAATGTGCTTGTCCAAACAAGACCGAATCCAAAAGAAAAGGCACCAGGCTGATCATTTTTCAACAGGTGATTTCTGCATTTGGAATCCATCTCTAACCTTGTATTGGACTGAATTGTGGCCTTCTAACTTCATTCATGTTGCAGACATATTATGGTAGAATTAAAGTGATGCTGCAAGTAGTGGAAATACAGCATGCCGTTCTGAAAATTGTCAATCTCAGCAAAGCAGTCATTCCTCACCAAATCATATATTTGTTGGAGACTTGTGCATTGGCTGGTCCAACAGGTTGGTTTTCCTCTCTTTGCTGGGAACTGTTTGCTGTTGAGACTTCCACTCATCAAAATGATAGCTTGGGTGGCTTATATATTTTAGCCATGAGTATGGATGAAAATACTGTTTTGAGAAGAAGCACAGGGATAAGTATTTTTCTTTGTGCGGCAATAGCCGCTGCATCAGCTCCCTCCAATGCTTATACCCCATTCATTTTGTTGCCTTCTTTCTGGTGTGTTTTGACACCAAAGTCCTCAACTGTGTGGTTCCATCACGCAGTTTACACGAAGTACCAATGTCCTTAGACATGGCAACAAGACAAGGGCTCACATGGGGGCAATGCCACCCTCTTGTTTTATTAATTTAGGGATGGGTTGCCGCTGGTCTACATAAGACACTGTTGGTGGTCCATGACAGCAATTGTTCTCCTATCCCATTAAGCAGACACCCGTCTGTTTCAGCTTTTCTTCCACCTTGGTTAGCTCGCTGAGCATGTTTAGGACAACATCTTCTGTGATCTATCCTGCCAAGATGGCTTCCCAAGTCTCTATTTGTAATTGGAAAATTGAAAGTAGTTGTTTGCTGATAGCTTCAGAACAAATTCTTAGTTTATAGAATATGCTGCAGCAGCTATTAGAGTCTCTCGAAGACTTCCGATTCATGTAGAACATCTGTGTTGATGAGTCGGTACATACAGAAACATATTTTTATTGATGTGATGCAAGGACTAATGTGACTAGGTTAAACATCCTTGTCTCATTGGAACATTTATTTCTTTTGCAAGTCTCTCTATTATCTCATTCCAAACTTTTCGATCCGTATTGTATGATCATCAGGTACAGTATTTTCCAAGAAGAAAAAGCTTCCGAACTCAGGCGATTGACATGACTCCAAAGTCATGTTCCTGCACAGTAAGTAGCCTGAGACTTATATGGCACATTATTGTTGTTGTTTCTCTCATCTTCAATTATGAGACATCCGACTGAGAGTTTCACTCTGCCTACTTCCAATCATGCCATCCAAAAGAAAAAGGCTTCATTTCTCTGCCTACCTACCTTCTCCGGTTGCCATTATGTTTCTTATCTTCTCCTCTACTCACTGCAGCCCATCATAGACATCCACCCTCACCGGACTCTCCTACTGAACAAAGCATCCTCTGTCTACTGACTATATTTGATCATCTGACTTCAGTCACTCTCCAGATGATCATCCCATCAACATGAAAGAAGAACGAGAGATGGCCTGTCTACGGCGAGCATCGCAGCTTCTCGGCTCACTGGTATCTTCTTCCTTCTCGGTCCGATGCTTCCCTTGTAAGTGGCAGTTGATCCGCAGCAAGCTCGAGCAGCTGCTCTCCGGACTTGCCGCAGCTGCAGACGGCAACTTCCTCAGCCGGAATTCGGAGGTGGATTTGCTGCTGAAGTCGATGTTGTCGACCTTCGATGACATCGAATCGCTTTTACTTCGTTGCGGCGATGAATCCTGCGTCGGTGGGAAGCTCCTCTTGAGGAGCGATCTTAATGGCGTTGCCTCCAGGCTCGGGCTCCATAACGAGAGACTTGCGGAATTGTATGCTTCTGGGAATGCGACGCGTTCCCGAGCCATCGTCCTCACGAAGCCAAGCAGTAATGCCAGCCTAGAGGACATCCGATTCTACGTGAGGGATCTGTTCTCGAGGCTTAAGATTGGTGATACCAGCATGAGACTGCTAGCTTTGGATTCTCTTCATGAGGTTCTCCGCGAAGACGACGAGTATGTGAGGATCGTGGCGACGGATACAGCTGATGCAGTGTGTCTTCTAGTAAGCTTTCTCGAACACAGAGATGATGGACTTCGGGAGAAGGCCGCAGGGGTACTCTTGGTGATCGCCGAGTTTGATTCATACAAAGGACTGCTTGTCGCTGCAGGTGCGATAGGTCCACTGATACCAATCTTGGAGAAGGGAACTGAATTGGGAAGAGAGAGAGCCGCCGGAATTCTGAGAAGACTGACCGAGAATTCCGACAACGGGTGGTCGATCTCTGCTCATGGAGGCATCACGGTGCTGCTCAAGATCTGCAGCGACGCCGCCGCTTGTCGTAAGGAGCTAATTGGGTTGGCTTGTCAGATTCTAAGCAACCTCGGCAGCGCTGAAGAGATGAGGAGGTTCATGGTGGAGGAGGGCGCCATTCCTGTTCTCTTACAGCTCACCCTGTCCAAGGAAGAAGAATCACGGATTCAAGCCATTGAGTGCCTTCATTCCATGGCATCTGCGGACAATGGCATCAGACAAATCGTTGTCGGAGAAGGACTTATCGCCTCGATAACTGAGTTACTGGATCCATGCTCACCCTGCTCATCGACGGCAAGAGAGGCGGCTCTCAAGGCTACCGAGCTGCTCCACTCAGCAGATTCCATAGCTGTCCTGATGAGCTCCGGCTTCTTGAATCGAGCGCTCTTCTTCGTCAAACATGGCGGCGTCTCCGTCCAGGAGTTGGTCCTGAAGAGCGTCTCCCGCCTCTGTGAGCTATCCGAGGAGTGCAGGAAGGCCATGGGCGACGCGGGCTACATGACGGAGCTCGTGAGCTTACTGGAAGCCAAATCAGCTGGAGTCAGAGAGAAAGCAGCTGAGACCATTCATAACATGATCTGTGCTCAACGAAATAGGAGAAGGTTGATCCAAGACGACCACGACGTGGACCGGATCATGCGGTCGCTCGATCTCGTGGACGGGAACTCTGCGACGAGGAAGCACCTGCTCTCCGTGCTGAAGGCAGTGGCGGAGAGCAACAGCGGAAGGAGAAGGATCATGGCCTCCGGGTGCGTGCATTGCTTGCAGAGACTGGCAGAAGCCGACGAGGTGGACGCCAGGAAGGTGATGAAGAAGCTCTCTGCCCGGAATCGATTTCGAAGTATCCTGAATGGATTCTGGAGCTACTGACTTCCTTTCAGCTGCTGTAATATGCAATCTGCTTTGTTCATCATCGGCATCTCTTTTTCTGTCTTCATGATTCCAACCAGCTTATCATGCAATTCTCAGCTGGTGATATTTGGATGATACATATATTATGTGTTTTTTTTTGGGGGGGTTTTGATCATTATTTTAGAATGTCTGCTAAATGGCCATATGAAATTGTAGATAAACCTGACCCTTAGACTTCAGCATTTGATGGGTGCAATGATGATCATGTGGGGATAAGAAGGTTACGGAAATCAACAACAATGAAGGATAAACCTAAAAATAATGTACCTCAGATTTATCTTTTTGCATTTTTAACCATCATGAGTATCATTGAATTAAAAAATATTTAACTTAAATATCTAAAAATATCTTAACTTTTCTTGGATCCAAGATTCAAAATCTAATCGTATAAATTCAAAAAAATTCAAAAATCTTGACTATCTGATAATGAGTTTTCAGATCAAATCTCATTCTTATCACTTATTTCATAAAAAAAATAAATCAAAAATTTAAATTAAAATACGATATTTTTTTTAAAAAAAATCCTTAACTTTCTCGTATAACATTTCAACTTTGAAAAATTTTCGTGAAATATAATTTTTTTATATGACGATTTTACCCTTGGTCTCGTCGGACCCGTCGCATCCACCTCCACCGTTGCTTTGCATTGCTTTTGTTGTGCTCGCTTATGATTCTTGCACGAGGAAGGAAGAGGTAAGAGAGCCATCACTATCTCTATGGACCCTTTCAACACTTGTTAGATTCACCCATATGCGTATAAAGTTGATGAAAGGTTTGATGAGGCCAATAAAATTAATGGAGACAAGGATGGTCTTCACACTCTCTCTTTCCTTACACGAGGGATGTGGACGAGTACGATAAAAGTTGATGAGGCGAGACGCAGGTGGGTAGCCAAGTTCGGGTTTATGGGTCATGGGCAAAGAATGTAGGGGTGGGATTGATTATGTCAATAAAGGTGATTATAGGTCCGATAGAGATATAAATAAAAAATATATTTTTTTTTCGGCAAGGTGCTCTCTTTATAAAATTTTCCTAAGTTAGAGATTTATTTGGGAATTCACCGTTAAAAATAGAATGATTAATAATTAAAATTTGGCAATTTAGATATCCAACACAAACTTTCCATCTTCGACATGAATTACATAGGCCAGTCAAATATATGCACAAATCTCAAAGTATCATGAGGTGAGATGATGTGCAGTACAACTTTGAAAGCATTTCACCGTCAGATTTTGAGGTTCACAGATCTCAAAGCAACGGGCATTCCGGGTCGGGTCTCCTATAAAATGAAGGGTTGTTACATTCCAAATCGTCATACCTTTTGTCGAGCTCCGGCGATATCCTACCTTCGCTTCTTGAATCCCTTCTTCTCTACCCATCCCTCTGCATCACTTAGGTTCCATTTAGGATTTCAGCGTCTCGCTCTTTCTCCGGTCGTCATGGACGCCGGTGGAAGCGGCGGCGGTCTCTTCTCCGTCGATCCCCTCGAGCGGCACGCCGCCAGGGGTCGTGGCGTCATCACGTCCATGGCCGCCGGCAACGACGTCATCATCCTTGGCACCAGCAAGGGTTGGGTCATTCGCTATGATTTTGGGGTCGGGGACTCGCAAGGTCAGCTAGCCTCGGTTGTTCTTCTCTCCGAACCCTTCCCTTCGATCTTGATCTGTTCATCATCCTCGCAGATCTTGACTTCTCTGGAGGCCGAGGCGGTGATCAGCTGGTGCACCGTGTCTTCGTTGACCCCCGAGGGAGCCACTGCATTGCAACGGTCCTCCATGCGGCCGGGGCTGAGACATACTATATCCACGCAAAGTGGGCACGGCCTAGGGTTTTGAGCCGGCTGAAAGGATTGGTCGTCAATGCGGTGGCCTGGAACCGACAGCAGATCACGGAAGGTATGATGTCGTCCTTTGTAGTTCTTGATTTGCACATGGTGGGTATCTATTTGGTTGATACTGATCATGATCCTTTACTGATTCTTGATCTGCGTATGCTGGGTTTCTCTTTAGTTGAGAGATAACCAAAGATGTGATGTCGCCTTTTCTGGTTCATGATTTGCATACGACGTGTTTTTACTTATTCCTTGTTTATGGTTTTAGGATCAACGAAGGAGGTGATTCTTGGTACTGAAAACGGGCAGTTGTTTGAGATGGCGGTTGACGAGGTGGATAAGAAGGAGAAGCATGTAAAGTTGCTGTTTGAGCTGACTGAGCTTCCTGAAGCCATAATGGGTTTGCAGGTATGGTAGAATGTTTACTCTCTTCGTTGGTGATGACTTGAAAGGTTATGCCACTATATTTTCGGATTCTTAATCCGCAGATGGAAACAGCTGCTCTAAGTAATGCAACAAGGTTTTATGTGATGGCCGTGACACCAACCAGATTGTACTCTTTCACTGGTATTGGTTCATTGGAGGTTAGATATGTAGTTTCTTTCTGGCAGATTTTAATGTATTTTCTTGTTATGTCCTTAAGTTTAGATTCTAACGAGTGCTTTCTTGAAATCATATGAACCTAAAAATATTTAACAAAAATAGTGTCTCTCTCTTAAGTATCACTAATTTGAAAAGGATAAACTATGCTCATATGGCAAGGCCTAAATTTGAGTTTCCTATCTCATAGTATGACCTGAATGCTTTTAACTATTCTTTTATATATTGTAATTTCCTGAGTTATCTAGTTTTCTGTAGAAGCATGTTGGTGTCTAGTTGGTTTCTTTTTCTAGTATATTTTTGAATAAAATAAAAATTAAAGGAAAATATTACATTCTCGTCTTTGTTAATATGTGGTTTATTCTTTTTGTAAGTTTTTACATGTAGTTTAAATTTTAAGCATTTGAACAGTAGTCAGAGAACTTTTTTATGTTCAGAGATTTTGTGGGTAAATCTTCTGTGATCTGGTTTATGTTGCTAATCTTTTGCAGACTGTATTTGCCAGCTATTCAGATCGTGCGGTGCATTTTATGGAGCTTCCTGGAGAAATTCCCAATAGGCAAGCTATTACATGCTCATTATAATGTTGCCTTTGGAATAATGCTTTTGACTTTTTTCTTATCTTTTATGTTATTTGATAATATTTTTTGCATGTGTTAGTTCTCTGTTTTTTCCCGTTATATTAATAAAAATTAGAAATACATTTTTGGTACTAGATATGGAAACTCTATTACTTGTCTAAATTCTTTATTTATTTTAATCAACAAGTATAAACATTTACTATTGGATTAGTGAGTTCACACGTCAGAAAAACTTTTGAAAGCAGTTTTCTTTTGTGCCATTTGTAATAAAGACCAAATGGACAGATATGCGTCTGACCCACAAAAGGCACCATGTTTTCTAATAGAATATATTGCAGCTTTTACATAGTTCTTTCAAATCTTGTATCTCTGGACAAGTCCATCAGAAGGGCATGGAACAAAATATGGTACCTTGAATCTATGAGAGGTATCACTAAACATCATGGAGTCTTTGGCATATTGTTTGCTAACCAATTGAGGCTGGTGTTCTAGATCCAGTGGCAATTTAGACTCAACAGATGTGGTCTGTGTGGTCAATTCACCTCTTTTTCTCCTCCACTTTATTGTAATGCTCACCTGTTTACATAGACAAATGTCAAAATTTTTTCTGGATTCTTATTGTTGTCTTCGGGGACAAACACATTCTTGTTATTACCTAGATGAAACTGTGTGGTCAATAGACCACTTTTTCTCCACATCATTATTGTAATGCACACCTATTTGCATAGACAAATATCAAAATCTTTTTTTATTATTACTCTTTTCTTTAGGGACTTTTTTCGTTGTTGTACTTGTACCTAGATCCCCCAATGACATCCTGTACAGTCTGATGATATTTATGACACTCAACATAAATATTTTCCAGTGTTGAGGTGGATTTAGATATCTCTTTGAGATCTTCAATTGGTGACAGGAAATGCTGATGCCCTAGGTGCATCTGGATGATAGTTGGTAATCTTGGTTTATATTGGGAACCAAACCTCTGAAAAGTATCTCTTGTATCACTCTACACTAAAATGCTTTCATCATTTATATGCGTTACTTATGGTAACATATATTTTCTAATTTCGATTTATAGTTTTATATTGAAACCTATAAAGGGTTAATATTTCGTTGTACCATCAGTTTACCATGTTCTGACATTCATTCATGATCTTTGAAGTTGGTTAATATATGTTGGCTTGTTTAGTCAAATTCATTCGGGCAGTCTTAATTTGTTTTTATAGGATGTTCTTTGTTGTTATATTGTTGTAATTTAGACTTCAATGACTGACGCCAATATGACTTAGGATAAAATGTACGAGGTCCCCAATTATTCCGCTATAAGAAGTACAAATTCACCAAATTTAGGTAAGGGCTTGAGAATATTCTCCAGCAATAACCTTATTTTAGCATTGTGACAACCAGCAACAATCGTATAAGATGTTTCCAATTCCTTTTATGAAATGAGTTGCTGCCCAAGTTGCAAGTATACTAATTGTATCAGTGCCACTCAAAATGACTCTGGTCAGATGAAATCATATCCGAAGATTCCAATCAGCTTGGATAACACAATGTCCAGAATACACAGATGTGCTAGGTGATCAATTTTGAAGCCTCCATAATTTTCGTCATCCATCCATATACTCTTTGAAATTTGACAAAATATTCAGAGCCTTCTATGGTTTTTGTCAATAGAACAAAATGATAGTGTGGTTTTAGTTTCTGCTGGAATAGTTGCCAATGTGTTCATTTCAGGTGTGTTAATTCTTCTCAATCCTAGTTATTCCTTTCACCAATGGTGGACTTAAATGTTTAGTAAATCATTCTAAATTGTTTACACTTAGGAAACTGCTTTGGCTTAACTGTTTAGTCAAGCAGATATACTTTGAGAATTTGTGGTCTTAAGCTAATGGTTTGGTTTTGAATAAACATTAGAGTCAACCTTAGTAAGCTTATAGAGTCATTAATTACAGTGGAAAGCAATTGACTCATGAGGTGATCATTCATTCTGCATAAAATTCATCAAAATATTAGTATCAAATCTCTTTGTGTAGTGTTACTTTTCACTTGATCTTTGCTGTTACTAATTGGTATATGTTGTCTTACATTTTTACATCATTAATCTTATGTGATCCCCTTATTGTTTATTTGGAGAGCTCTTTCTTAATTTCTCATGCAATATGTATTAAATTGTCATTTTTTATATAAAATTGTTGGTCAAACATCACTATTATGGTAATTATCTGCAGTGAGCTACACTTTTTTATTAAGCAGCGGAGGGCCCAACATTTTGCCTGGCTCTCTGGGGCTGGAATTTATCATGGTGATTTAAATTTTGGTGCACAACACAGGTATGGTTTTCTGTTTTCATCTTCCTCTTAAGGATAACTATATCTCTTGCTAAATTTTAATTTGCCTTTGAACCATGCATTAATAGTGCTTATTAACTTAGTAAACTTGCCTATCAAAAGGATAAAAAGGGGCATTATATGTTGTATTCTATTTATTCAACATTTTTCGAATCTTAATCTGTTGATGGTTGAAGATTTTACCTGTGCTTGACTTATGGAGTTCCTGTTTTCTGAAGCTCAACCAATGGAGATGAGAACTTTGTTGAAAACAAGGGTCTTTTGGACTATTCAAAATTGGGTGAAGTGGGCGAAGCCAATAAACCAAGATCTTTTGCAGTGTCTGAGTTCCACTTTTTGGTTCTGATTGGCAACAAGGTTAAGGTATGGATCACGTTTAGGTTTACAATACAACCAACTCTTGTGTCTTCAGAACTTTTATTAAATTAATTTCATCTGACAGCCTCCAATAGTTGGTGCAAAAGTAAACTATACTCGAGTGGGTTTATAAGGATTCATGTTTCTGATACAGAGCCAATCAATGGCTGTTTGACCTATGCGTGAATTGTAGGATGATATATATAGAGAAAGGTATTACATATGATGCAAATTTGTCAGAAGGAAACTAGATAAACTGAAGGATATAATGAATATGCAACAAAGAAGCTATATTATATATGAACATTCAGTGAGTAAATAGGAAATGAATTATGCACACAAAAAAATGGCAACTTATAAATAGATAACTTATCATGAATATGATACAGCTAATTTGTATTTGAGGCACATGTAAATCAGATTGTTCAGCAACCGCACTAGCTATTTTTATGTGGACAAAAAATTGAAAATGTTAGAGCCTCTTCTTAGCATGATGAGATAAAAAGGCCAGTGGAGGAAACTACTAAAATCTTGAGAGAAGTGGGACTACCTATTTCATATATCCTCTTGATAGGATGGGTAGCCTTATATTGAGTTCGAGTGCTACCTTTCTACAAGGGAATGTAGCAAATCCTCTTGATAGGATGGGTAGCCTTCTATTGAGTTCGAGTGCTACCTTTCTACAAGGGAATCTAGTAACCTCAGAGAGAGAATTTAGTAAGGGAGAAAATGAGAGTGAAAAGTTATAGCCTTAGAGGCTTGTATGCTTATATCTACATGGCCTATTATGCTTATATCTATATGGCCTACTATCGTGTTGCTTTTCTGGAATGATCCTTGCTTGATTGCTCTTGCATCCCTCATCCTTCAAGCTGTCTATCCCTCCTCAGGTATGTTAGTCAGCTGACCCTTGCTTTGGAACAAATCGTTGACAATTACCCAGCTGGTTGCCCTTTCTTTGAATCATAACGGGTGACCAAGCATCAATATAATCCATATTTCCTTCTTTGTGTTGTCTAAAATATGATTCTTTGACCCAGTCGATTGCTACAGCTATTAGGACTTCAAGTTGTGATCTTCATCAGCTTATCTTCGTCTACAATTATGCTTCCAAGCCAATGCGAGGCTGATTAGATGCTGTGAAGGCTGCCATTGACCTGTCGGCCTTGGTTGGCATCAAATTGGATCAAAAAGTTGCCAATTTCAAGGACAACCACAACTATGGTGAAACTGGCACTGCAATGGTCGATGATGAGGCTGACAATGAGTTTGAAAGCCGTTTTTCTACACAGTTTGAAAACTGTGTAGTAGAACCCAGAGTTACTTTGATTTAGGTTGGGCAAAGGATGTACCATGTTGGTTCTTTTTTAATTGATATTAGAACTTTGAAAGGCTCTGTCAAGTGTCAATATAACAACAAAAATTAATATCTGGAAAGAAAGAAACTGCAGGCTCAAAGGTTTTATTGAACATCTGGTTAATATAGTTAAGGAATCACTTTCTGGTTCTTTAGCTGTGAGAGAATTTGCTGCAGTAAAAAATTAGGCCATCTGGTCTTTGGTTTGCCAAAGGCTTCCATCACTTCTTAGTTGTCTTGGAGTTTGTTGTAAGCTGTTTCTGCTTCTTTCTCCCCCTCTCTCTCTGTGTTTATTTTATCTTATCTTTTGTATTTAATTTACTGCCTAAAAAAATGTTTTCAGCTTTGCTGTTTTGCCTGAAAAACCCGTTGATATTAGCATTCTGAATGGAAGTTTTATTCCACATCAGATAAAGAATTTATTTAGCTCACTGCCAGTTGGCTTTGACATGATTGCCAGTGAACTTTGCAAATGATTGTTGTTCTAGTTCAGGGACTCCCTCAAGTGTCATTCTTAAGCAAAACAATTATCTGTAATTTTAAACTGGGTTATGTCACAAGCAGTACAGAGGATGAGATGACTAGTTGTCTTTATAACTCAGGAAAACAACTTGCCTTCATTTGCAGGTTGTCAACAGAATCAGCCAACAAATAGTAGAGGACCTTAAATTTGATCATACGCCAGAATCATCAAAAGGAATTATTGGGTTGTGCAGTGATGCCACGGCTGGATTATTCTATGCATTTGATGAGAACTCTATATTCCAGGTTAGAGCCTACATGGATATGTGCTTTGGTTAAGCTCCCTGATCTTTTATTTAAAATTTTGTTGATGTCTACTGTACAAGGTTTCTGTTCAAGATGAGAGCCGTGACATGTGGCAATTCTACCTAGACATGAAGGAATATGCTACTGCTTTAGCCTATTGTCGAAATCCAATCCAGAGAGATCAAGTTTATTTAGTGCAGGTCATTTCTTATCCTGATGGGCTCTTGCAACTGTGTAATGTTGTCAGGAGCTCTTGTTCATTCTTGGACACTGAGAGATTGCACATATGCTTATTTCATTCAATGCTATATTGATTTTGTGTGAAAAGTAATTGAGTTAGATTTATTACAGGCCGATGCTGCTTTTTCCACCAGAGATTACTACAGAGCGGCTTCTTTCTATGCTAAGGTGAGATTAGTTTTCAATAATTTATTATTCCTTCTAACCTGAAATGGTACCTAATTTAAAGTAGTAAACCTGGCATATTGTTAGACATTGATGAGCAAAAGTTGATTAACTTTACTAACTGCCCTTTTTTTAAATATGTTTTAATCGAGGAAGTCTCTACTAGGATCAAGCAGGGTGAAGTAGTGAGCACTCGTGAAAGAATGTAAATTATAGTTTTACTGAGTCTGCTTTAGTTTAAGTCTTATGGCAATGACTTTTAGTAATAGTTGATAAAGATCAAAATATTGGAATGGGTTCTTGAAGTATATTTGTTGCAGATTGGAACCATGTAGCAAAATGTGAATCTGTTGGAATTTTAGTTTATTTTTGACAAATTAACATTGTTTTAGTTGATAAACATACCAATATCTGAATCCGAGTGAAGGGTGAGGGCATGACTCTTTTATGAAATAATGAGCTGCAGGGGAATCATGATTAGTGTTTGAGGGTACACATAAAGAATCAGATAAATTGAAGCTTGTGACTTTTCCTTTTCAAGTTTTTTCTCTGAAACACCATTTAGTGATTTCCATGAACTACTTTAATGACCCAGTTAGAATTGTTTACCCTGAAGCTGATAAAAATCTTGTTATATATCATTTAGGATTTCAGGATAGAGAAATAACTCCTTTTTGGTCATCCTATCACATTACTGACATTATTACTTAAAATATGGTGCAAAGAAACATGGAGATCCTAGAAGAAGTGTGCAATTCCAATTTCATAGTTCTGAACTGACATGAGTATCTTTTGGGGTTGAACTCTTTGGTTTTGTTATCTTTGTTACTGAATTCAATTGCATGATTCCAATTCCTGCAATGTATCTTTATCAATTAGTAAAACCTTTTATCAGTTGCTGAGTTATGAATGTTGAGAAGTTATAGATGGATAATTCAAAGAATAATTTTGGTAGCTATCTTTATCAAGGTAATGTTGGTTTAAATTTTCTCCTTGGTGATAGGGAATTATAGATTCCCTCTCTACATAATAATGATTAGATCAAGTGAATATGTTTCCAACATGGTTGATCCAAATCTTAACTTGTTGAGAACTTGATTTCGTCTTCCTCAAATCTATCTTTATGTAAAATTGGAGATCTTATGCTCTATTTTGTTGCGACTATAAAAGCTTAGAATCTTGTTCCCAGTTTTTGCTCAACTTGCTCAAACATTGAAATTTGGTTGAAGCATCTTACTCCTGAAATTGGTACATCTCCAATGAGATGGTCCATTTTGGTACCATATCCATTGATGTTTGGATGGCCTGCAACCATTTTTTCTATCTTATGAAGGATAAAACTGATTCCTCATATTTCAGAGAAAAATGCTTTGAGACACTGATATCTTAAGCTTCTTATTCTTTTGCTTAATTTGTTAGCAATCAGGAACATATTGTAATCAAGTTCCTTGGATCGTAGAATTAAATTTCAGTTCGATTGTATGTTATTATCATGCCAAATGTTGGCATGGTTTGTTATACTGTGGGCATCCAGAAAAAGTACCAAATGACAAAGGTACTCGAGGGAAAACTTAATAACCTCAAATATGTTGAACGGACACAATCATATGCCTTAACGAGTTTAAGAAAAAACAAAATCTAAATCCAGTGGATTAAATTCACTAATTTTGAGGTCCTTGCCAGGATCAGAAACCTTGGTCAGTTCTATATTTGATGGTCCATAATGTCCTTTCGTCCCTTGTTGGTTTATAACTACAACTGCATTGTGAGATCAGGAAGGTCCTTGAAGACGAGAGATAGAGGCAAAAATTTCATGCATAGAGAGATAAATGAGGTCTAAATTGGTAAAGGTTAGCATAAATATACTCACCCTTCTTTTCATATTAAGCATTATCCCAAATATAATATGAAAAAAGGGTGATTCTTGATGAAAAAGGTGAAAACCGAAGGGTGACGTTCACATGTATAATAGTGTACTTGATGACAAAGAGATCTGAAACAGGAAAAACTTCAAGCATCAAGCAATGCTTAAGTCTTCAATCTTGTTCCTTTATTTTTAACTGTATTGGTCACTCGATATAAAAATACTTAATCAACTGTTTCAGTGTTCTCACAAATTTAATTTGGATTTGGTACATTTTAATAATTAAGTTGCGACCACATTGATAATAAAATAGTGAAAATAATGATAGAAAGTTTAAAGTTTGAAGTGCTTGGGCCTCTCGTGATAACTACCTTGCTACCATGATACTAAAATGCTAAAGGAATATGTATGTGATTGCATAACATTCTTTCTTTTTTGGCATGAATAAGGAAACCTTTTGTTTCTCAGTTTCCTGCTAAATCATGATAAACATCTAATCCTGCAGCCAACATTAAACCCTTAGGACATCCCAAACCTTTAAGCAAAGGGCAGCACTGGTTCAATAACTACTCAAGGATAACTTCATGGCAATGAGAGCATGCATCTGCTCTCTTGGCATGACATGATTTTATGCCGTGTAAGTTGGTATGTCCCTGTATTAACTAATACCCGTAAAAAACTGATTTAATCATGTTTTAGCACTTCCATGATAGGTTGCATGATATAATTTGGTAGCAGCATGATTTTTGTGCTATGGCCGTTGGTATATCCATATACTTATTTAAGAAAAAAAGGCATAGCCAGTGCACGAGGCTGATCGACTAAGAGTTGCCCCTTTATTTAAACAAATGCAACTCATTCTAACATCAGTTGTACTGTGGCACATTAATTGCTTGCGATGTTTACTTCACTGAGAGTCAATGACATTTTGAGATTCTGTTTTCACTTTTTACTTCTTATGATTATTTTCAAAGTTATTGCATGCTATGTCATTTGTTTTTGGTTTTGGAGGCCTGCATCAAAAGTGTCATAAGTGACAATCTTTTGTTCTTTATGGATATTATACTTTGGATGAATCTATTTTGTGAGAGAAGTTTAAAAGTAAATTTATTTCTTTCTTAGTATCTTGAGGAGGTGAGTTTTCATAGTTTTATTATTTGCCAATGTTTGTGAAAATATCATTTATTGTATTATCATTAGTGTAAAACATTCCTTTCTGTAGTTTCTTGATCAAGTTGCAACAATTTTCTTTTGGGTTGGACATGATTGTCATCATGAGGCTTGATGTGTCTTTTAGTTACCCTGCCTGAGAACAAGAAGAAAAATGACATGATGATGACTAAATTTAAGATGTTAAAATAAGATTGTTAAGTGAGAGGTGCATTTCATATGATTATACATTGTAGTAAGTACATACAATATGAGAATGCTTTTTTTCCTCTTGCAGGTGAACTACATCAAGTCATTTGAAGAAATCAGCTTGAAGTTTGTAATGGCAGATGAGTTGGTAAGTACGTTGTCTTATTATTGATGTGGAAATAAGTTAAATTAACAACATAACGTTCCAAAGTTTAATCAAGATGTGACAAAATTAAGTTTCTGACATCTACCATTAGTTAGTTTGGCACAGTTTGCTATGTATAAGGCTGAATCATGTCACCATGCTATTTTTCTAAAGTTGAACAAATAAAGAATAATATCACCAAACTTATTTATCTTTCTAATGTGTTGTGAAGACCCATAAATCAGACCAAAATTTTTAGACCAAACAGTAGTCACTCCAAAATCAAAGCTAACAAATAATTAGTTGGTTTGATCATTAGGGGATTAATTTATTGCAAGCGTGTTCAAATGGACAAATAAATATACTAGCATGTTTTAAAATACTATTTAGACTGATCTGTGCCAACTGGTGTCTACCAATCCACCAAGCATTACCAGATGGTATCTTACTTTTTTGTGTTTTTCAATGATACCAACGAGTATAGGTCAATATACTGCTTGGTATTTCATTATTGTAGTTATGTTTTAAAATACTGTTTGGACCAAGGTCTCTCGTGCTGTGATTTACCACTCGGTATAGGCAGTATATACCGATCCGATAGGGGACTGGTATGCAGACCACCTTGTATCAGGTGGTTTGTGTTATATGATATTGTATCACCCGATACGGGGTCTGTACCGATGGGCATGGTCAAAATATGACTGTTATCGACCTGTACCGATTGGATTTCGACCAACATTGATCAAGGGCCAGGATTGATTTGATTCAAACGGTCCATTTGACCGTTTGAACTAGTAGAAAAGGTTTTTAAACCCTTTTTACCCCCTCATTCTCTCCCGTTTCACACACTCTAACTCATTTATTCTCTTATTCACTTTCTCACTCACATATTTATCTCATTCTCTCATTTGTACTCTCTTAAACTCTACGAAATTACAATTTATGAATTGGTCAAGCTTGGGAGGCTAATTATGGAGGATTAACACCAAAGTTAGAATAAGAACTCTCTAATCAAAGGTTTTTTTTTCATTTTTGATGATTTTTGAGATAATTAAGCCTATATTATGTTCTCTAATCAAAGATATATGCTACTATTTTTCATAATTTAAATTATTTTTGCTAAGTTTATACTGAATTTATATTTATTTTTAACTTAAAAACTCTAATAAAATTTTTAAGAAATTTTTGGAGTTATTTTTTGCCATTTTCCTATGCTGTTGGCATGCCCTATTGTGCCAACACATTGTCGTAGACAAATCTATACAAATAATGTTCGATGTAACATTTGTGTATATCCATGTCTTTCGTTTTTGTTAGTCAGCCGGTATGTTGGTTCGGACCGGTAAGGCGAACCTTGGTTTGGACTGACAACTAGTGTCTACTAGTCCAACCAAGCAATCCTACTTGGTACTCACTTTTTTGTTTTTCCAGTGATACCTATGGGTACAGGTCAATGTACTGTTTGGTATTTCATTATTGTACTAGTCCAACATGTTAAAATTGGTACCAGTCCAACAGTCAAAACCTTAGCACATAGTTACTGATAAGAGTAGAAAAGTAGATAGAAACCAAAGAACATGGAAAAGAAATGGTTTAAACAAATCTTTCAGAAAAGCCTTAAAATTTTAAAAATGACCATGTTTGCGGTGCTAGTCTTTCTCTTTGGCTCTGGAATAGTGCAATGCATGAATTAAGTAATTTTGCCATAAATCCATCATTAACTAATTTCTACAGTCTAGCAGCTAAAGATTTCCAATAAAATCTATTGGAAAATCTTAAAATGCAGGCTGTAGTAGGTTATTGCTATTTTGCATGTATGGCCATTTGTACTGACCGAACTGCAGAATTCCTATACATCTCTCTTTTTAGTTTGGATCTCTAGTCATTACAAGATCTTATTTTAATTTTGTGGTCATCCAAAAAGGTACTATTTTGCTAATTGCATATTTATGATCTTGATATCTGTTATTAATTAGGAAATGTTCCAGATTTTTCTAAAAGATAAAAGTTCCGCTTATGATTGTATTTCCAATGTTGATTCAGAACCCCATATCTTGTTGGTATAGGATTCGGACTGATACTGGTCTCTGGGTGGATTAGTACGAGTCTGGTACACACCGATGTATTGACATATTGTATGCCATTGTACCAGGTGGTACAGACCAAAGAGAAAGAGAAAGAGGAGAGAAGAGAAGAGGTGGAGCACCAATGTCTTGACACACTGTATGCCATTGTACCAGTTGGTATGGACCAAAGAGAGAGAGGGAGAGAAGAGAAGAGTTGGAGAGGGAGGATGAGAGGAGATGTAGGAGTGGATAGGAGGCTCAGTGGCAAGGCTTGCTGGTGACCGTCAACAGTAGTTGACTGTCAATAGCAGTTGACAAGTTTGGTTGTCATCAACAGGCTAGAGATATTAAAAAATAAATTTTTGGTTAGACCCGTAAATGCCTTCTGGGATGCACTGGTGCTACCCTTTTTTTAACTATGTTTCTAATAATACAATGGCTCTTGCTTTGTGGGCTTGTGATAATGATGATTTATAGAATGGCATATAGCAATTGTTTAGTGCTTAGGGAAAGCATGAGTTATAGGGTTCAGAGGTTTTGAGGAAAGAATATGGTCAGAGTGAGAGAAGAATACCCCAAAGTATATGAAACAAGACAAAAACCAGGCCAATATGAACTCTATAAACAAAGTTATTAGTCATTGAAAATTTGGTACATCACCATTTAATTCCTCATAAGTGTGCTGATTCTTAAATTGTAATTCACTGCTACTGTTCCATACTAAACAGTTATGCGATCAACAATATTTTGTATTTCCTTATTTGGCTTTTTCATTGCTAATGAAGTACATCCGAAATCTCATGAAGTTAGAAAAGAAAGTTCAATCTTGCTAATCAACAAAGAACTAGACCTTTAAATTAGACCACCAAAATATAGGTTATCATCATCATCAAAATAGATGTTTTCCATGCATCTGTGAGATGTTTTTGCTGGTGCAGTTGCCTTTTAGTACATGTCCATATAGGCTAATTACTGAAAATATTCCAGTCAAAATAAAGAGGTAAGATCACTTGCTGGCATTGATATTACAAGTTGGGAGACGAAATAGAATCATGTCAGTGGCTGATGATGGACCACAGGCAATCCTGTAATCTGTTCCCTGTCATTTGTGGGCAAAGACATGATTAAGTTAGGAGTACTAGAACACGTTTAGTGTTCTTTGTCACTAATCCACCATGTTTAATTTTTTTGGTTTCATGCTATTTAATCTTTTTTCAGAAGAAGGTTTACTATAGAAAGAAAGTTATATAGTTCTCTTCTTTGCTAGAGAAGTTGCGGGTTCTCCTTTTCGCTCATAGGGGGTCAAAGAAATTGTGTGAGGCAGTTTCAGCAGGATAAGCATTTGAATGAGTTTGGTTGGAAAATTGGTGCATCTTTAGTTTAAAGTGTTGCAGCTTCATGCGGGTTATCATGAGAATGATACTTGACTCCAACTATATATTTACTTTAGCTAATGAAGTTTTGTTCTTCTTGTTCTTTGACAAAGACTTCTATGGGCTCAATCATGTAAATCTTGTCTATTATGTTTTTCTTCTTTTTTTCTAATCTCTACATATATTTAAAAATTCTCTGTCTTGAAGGAGCACAGTGTTCTAGGTGTTAACTTGTAATGCAATAATGGTATTACATGTTGGAAGAATAAATTTTATTGAAAAACATTTGTTTCTATTTTGACCATGTCACTCAATCTTTCAGTCTCGAGTGTTCTTTGATCACAGGATGCACTAAGGACATTCTTGCTAAGAAGGCTTGATAATCTGACTAAGGATGACAAGTGTCAAGTCACAATGATTTCCATGTGGGCTGTGGAGCTGTACTTAGACAAGGTCTGTTCTTCTGTGTATCATCTTATTCAGCTTTAGTGTAGCTAGTGCTTTCTTCCTCCTGCTGAATTTTTCTTAGTATACTTGAACCTTTCTTTCTAGCTGTATGAAAGTGTATTATTGAACCTGTTCTCTAATTTTCAAAGTTAACTACCAATATAAGAAAATGAGTATTTCTGTTATGATGTTCAAGTTTATAAGCTATCAAATTATGTTAAGTAATCAGATGAGATCACAACTTATCATTCTCTTTATGTTGATACTATGCTTCTCATTCTGGTTTTTTAAGATGTTCGTTTGGTTTTGATCCTCTGTTTGGGCATTGAGCTGTCAACATTTTGATTTATACTATCATAACTAAAGTTCGAGCCACATTTCAGTGTGCCATACATATTGAGGATCAACGTTTGTTGTATCGCTCCAAACTGTATAGTATGGGTTGCCCATACCGGTATGGGCATGGGTCAAGACATGGAGCACTCTGTTTTGGTTGGTCCGATTAAAATAATAAAAAAATAAATAAAATGGTGGGGCCCTATCTAAATCAACGTTTGAAAAAAAAAAACAGATTAGGCCTCTTGAATGCGAGCCCTCTTCTTGAGTAAGATGTCGTTGCCTCGCCAGCGCCGCTTTGCCACTACTGCTTCAACGCTTCCTTGCCACTATTGCTGCCGCTTCAATGCTGTTGTTGCCTCGTCGCTGTCGCTGCTTCCCAGGTTCGCTATTGCTGCTTTTTCCTCTTCTTTCTTCTTCTTCTTCATCCTTCCTTTCCTTCTCTAATCCTCCACTACCCTTCCCTCTTCCTCTTTTTTCTTCCTTGTCGAACCCTTTTTCTTCCTTGCCAAACCACCGGTATCACAAGCATACTATGTGTCGGTACACTAATACAGACTAGTACATACTGGTCTGATAAAGTGTCGAAATGGGTTTTATACTCGAAAAAGCAATCTTTGCTAAGGATGATACTCTTAAGTCTTAACTAATGTAAATTATAGAATTTGTTGCTATGTGGCAACTTATTACATTTGTAAAAGACCCTTAAACTAATAAAATTTATTCAAAAGAAAAAATAAATGAAAAATGATCAGGATTTTTAATTGGTTGATCTTGATGCTAATCTCATTGATTGTTCAATACCAATTCTGATATTTTAGACTTTGATTAGTTGGCAACATCAACAACAATAAAGCTGTAAGTCCCAACTATTTGGTGTCGACTATGTAATATCCTTCATTTTTGAATTGGTATCGAACATGTTCAATCATATTGTTTATAATATGATGATTTTTTTAATTATTTTAATATGAAAATTTATTTAATAAAATTTTGCATCAAGCAATTTTATATTGGAAGATTAATGCAAGGAACCTAATTGTGAATCATAGAATTTGGATGTGATTTGTGAAAGTTTTCATATTATGTTAGTGGAGGAGAAAAATATATAAAAAAAGAGAAAATAGAGGAAGTGGAGTACATATGTCACTAGCTAAATAAAGGAGAGTGTCACCCATGCTTGCTATATTGTTGACATCTAAGCTTCTTTGTTGCATGCTTGCCATATTACAATATTTTGTATCATCTAAACACTTGTAATTAGAGAAAAAAGTGAGAAATGGTTACCAAATTAGAGCTTGCTGCCATCTACCTTGTATTGGTGAAGAGAATGAAAAATTGAAGGAGAAGAAGCGAAGTCTTCTTGCCTTGGCCTGAAGATTTTGGAGTAGTTTAATATCTTTAGGAATTAGCTTTTATTAAGGCAAGTATTCTATCCTATCCTATAGTAATTCTCATCTCTGATTCCTTCTTGTTTATGCATAATTTGTAAAGCTTTGCCTCTTTCTGATAGCATCAACATTAATTGAGTTGTAAACCTGCAATGCTGGAAACTTTTAATAATTTTGACGTATTTGCCTTATTTCAACTATAATATTCTGTAAAAAGCTCAAAATCAAGCAAATTCTCTTTTGTTGGAAACTAGACTCTTATTATCTTTTTGACAATACCTTACTTGAATGATTTGGAGTACAAATGTCTGTCCAAACATCTCTTTTAATTGATCTATTGAATTTTGTCTAGCAGAGATAAAAATTATGATGTTCTGTACAAAACTTTGAATCAAGTCAAATCTCTTTTGTTGGAAACTAGACTCTTGTATTTTTTTTGCAGTACTTTATTTAAATGATATGATGTACAGATGCCTATCCAAATGTTTATTTCAATTGATCTCTTGAATTCTGCTAAACAATGACAAGATGATTCTGACCTATCTGGATTCAATTGCTTGTAATTTTTTGTCGATAACTCCAATTTGTACAAATTAACTTTATTTGAAGGTAGACTCGTATATCTTTCTAACAATGTCGTACTTGAATAAATTGGAGCACAAATGCCTACATCTTGTGCAACGTACCTTACAAATTTTGCCAGAACAGATTGATTCTGAAGTTTACCAATTCTTGCTTCGACCTTTTGGAATTTGATTAAGCTAAGAGTCCTCTCTCAATGAGACTCATGTTGCTGATTAAACTCTTTTATCTCTTAGTCACTGATTTTAGTTACAATTGAATGAATTGTGCATATGTTCAAGTTACCTTTGATATTGCTCTGTATGTGCACATGTATGCTTTTGTTGTTTCACATGTGCTTCTGATACATTTCTACTTTCGTGATTATAATATACTTTTTGTACTCCGGTGTTTGTTGAATATTGTGGACCCTTTGCTAGAAATAAAAAGGGGATTGTGTTATGTTGTGAAGCCATGATGAGCTCTAGACTTGTGGACGCCCAGAAATGGGTGAAATTGTTTTATGTTATGATCTCACTTCACCATCTATATTCCTTTGATATGATTCCAAAGGACATTCTTATGTGTTGCTATACGTTCCTTTGATACGACTAAATTGAACGAAATGTCAAGTATGACTCTCCTCCTAAGCTCATTGCCTTGCATTTTGATATCGATTTGTTAATATATTACTCCTTGCTCCTTTGTTATTAATGAATCGAATGAGATATCAAATATGGCCCTTAAGCTCATGCCTTTGAATCTTGACTTGCTTATAAGTTACTCTTTGCTCCCTTGTTATCAATGAATTAAATGAAATGTCAAACATGACTCTTGAGCTCATACCTTATATTATGATCCTAATTTACTCATATGTTGTTATATACTCCTTTGATATCAATAAATCGAATCAAATGTTGAATATGACCCTACACTTGAGCTCATTCCTTGCGATTGTTCTTGATATTCTCATATGTTGCTCTTTGCACCCTTGTCAAGTATGAATCTAATAAGATGATATTTATTGACTCTTGAATCCATGCTTTATATCTTGATCCTTATGTCATATGATTTGCTATCCCCATGCCATGGATATGATTGTTGCTTGCTGAGCTTTGTAGCTAACATTGTTGCCATATAGATTTTTCAGGTTAGCTTGTCACTCACACTCATGTTAGTTTTAAAGTTTAGAATCTTAAATTTGAAGGCTTTATGTTGATGTAAACTTGTGGTAAATGATTGGCTTTATGATTATGGTGTTTCATTGATCTTGTGAGTTTCTAAGTGGTTAATGATTTTGGAGTTGGCTTTGGGTCTTATAAAGTTATCAAGTGATGTTGAACGATTATAAATTGAATAGGTTTTATATTGTATTGTGTCTGAGAGTTGAATGCATCTGGTGTTCTCAAATTCTATGTTATGGATCCTGGGTTTGGATTATGAATAGTTAAAAATTTTATATTCTTTCTAAGATAAGTTCAGGTCTCTAGGATGTCATCTTGGGGGTGTGACAAGTTATATCGATTTTTTGCCGCCATTGAGGTCTGTAAAAAGCAAGGTCCGCCATACCGTACCGTACCAGAATTTCGACCCGGGCTCGGTACGGTACGGTACCGGTGTACCGGGCGGTTCATCAGGGCGTATCGAGCGGTACACCCTGGTGTACCGAGAACCTGTCGGACCGGTACATACCGCCCGGTACGGGCGGTACGCTTCGGTACGGCAGACCATGGCAAGGTTCGTAATACCGTACCGTATCGGTATTTCGACCTGGGCTCGGTACCGGTACGGTAGGGTATACCGAGCGGTACACCCAGGTGTGCCGAGTACTGTAGCACTGCTACAGTGCTACAGTGCACTCGGACTGACAACCTATCGGACCGGTACGTACCGCCCGTATCGGGTGGTACGGTTCGGTACGGAAGACCCTGGTTTATAGTTTCTATTAAAGTCTTTTTAGTCTTTCTCTATCTCTCCTTGTACCACTAACATTAACCATTTCAACTCTTTTGACTACTGTATTCAGACATCTCCTAAGCATATGCCAATGCCATCTTAAAGATTTTCTTTCATTTTATCTTCTATCGAAACGATATCTAATTGTTCACGATTAAAAATATTTATTTTCCTATTGTTCTTTATAACTTCACACATTTATCTCAACATTCTCAATTCGACAACACAAACTTTTTGTATGTGTTGTTTCTTAACTGTCCAATGCTCAACTTTAGAAAACATTATTGATCTCATAACTGTTTTATAATTCTTTTTGTCATCTCAAAGGTAGCCAATGATCACATAAGACTCTTGATGTCCCTCGTCATTTTAACCATCCTGTTTTTAAATCTGTGCTTGGAATGGCTGGCAGCTACGTTTAAAACTCTATTCTAGGTGCTTACTGGATTTAGATGTTTTTAATAACCATATTATTAAGAAAAAGTGTTGGTAGCTGAATGCAACCCAATCTCATTGAACAGTTTATCCCAGTCACACCTTAATTTGTGAGCAGCCGGACTTAAAACTCTTGTCCAGAAACTGTGGTGTTTCCTGGATTTAGACATCCTCTATAATAGCCATATTTATGAGGAAAGTGTGGGAACAATATCTTAAATTTTGTAGCACATCGGCATCTTGGTTCTATGCTCACATGATATAAAAAGTGCCAATCAGCAGTGACATGGGTTTTCAATGACATCCAACATTAGTTCAATGTTAAGCTTGCTCGATGTCAATAGGGTCCTCAACAATGCATGAATTTCCCTAGGATCCTCAGCAATCCATGGATCCCCATTCTGGTTTGATCTGCATTTAATTCATGGCATGGATATTGACATTAACAGTGATAATATGGCCTTCCTTGTTAGTGATGATAAAATTATTTCTATGTTATATAAGTACCTGGGTTTGTCCAAAGAAACCTATTAATCTATAAGTTAATTGATACGTTATGTCTGTACTGATTCAGATTCTTGGATGCTTTTGTAAATTTGTGTAATTTGTTTGTGTAATTTGTGCTTTTATCAATACATTTGTTCTGCCATTATGCTTCCCTTTTGTCTATTTTCTACGGTCATTGTTCATAAAACCTCCAATCATGCCTATTACTGTTGGGATATAAAAGAGCAACACTTGAATGATTGATCTAAAAGTTTTGTATTAATTGAGGCTTGATGTGAGATTGTGAGGTACTACTTATCAAGGTTGTTAAGGTGTTCAGGCAGTCCATAGGTAACAAGGTCCTTATATGCTTAAGAACCACCTAGGTGTTTAGGTAGATTTCTCAAATTTAGGCATTCCTGTGAGCTTGCCCATTGCCTCTTCTTCCCTTCTTGATTCACTAGTCCATCGCTAAACTTCCATGGCACTTTCTTGCTTAAAAGAAAAAAATATATAGCCACTAAATCAAAATCCAAATTTATATCTTAGAAGGTACTGCATGTTGCACGACAGATCTTCCACGGGGAAGGAGAACTTTTAATGGCAGCTTGATGGTTTACCTTTATTACTATTATTTTCAAAGAAAAAGATTCAACACATTACTATTTGTTAATTATGCACCTACAAAATCCATGTAGGAGATGCTCCTTATATTGGTCTTTTAAATCATAACATGCTAAATCACACTTTTGGTTGAGAAGTAGGCCTTCAGTATTCTTAAATTAAATAAATTAATCCTTAGTTTCTCCAATGTTGGATTTTTTTAGGAGTTTCTTTTTTAATGCTGCAATATTTTGGACCTAATCTGTACCTCTAAAGTTGGTTGAAATGCTTACATTAAATATTCAGTTTGATCTTGTTGTTTCATATCAATATTTACTTCCTTTGCTTGTAATGACAAAGCCAGTCCCACATAGTTGGAATCAATGGCTTGTGTTTGCAGCCTACACTTTGGAGAGTAAAAGTGATAGAGCTGTTATCAAAACAGCACAAGACCATATGCTGTTCATAGTTAAGTAAATGCCATCAAATGTCTTTTGATATTGATCTTTGTGATGATTAGTTAAGTAAACTTGAGATTTTTACCCTATTATCTGTGGGAGCTTTGTTTGACTAGGAACTTTCTTTATTACCTAATGTTCATCAATCTTTCTTTCTTTTTTCAACCACCTCTGATTACTTCTATGTGACCATTGCATCCCAACTTCATTTGTCACTGTGGTTTATGTTTATGTTTTCTATTATTGCCTTATCAACCCAGAATAGTTGGGAAAATATGATTATCTTGATATGTTTGCTTGTAGACCCAGGTTTCTTATCTTGATATCTTAATTTTGTAGATTAACCGTTTGCTATTGGAAGATGACACTGGCAAGGTTGGTAATGTAGCATCAGAAGCCAACAAGACTGAGTACGAGTCAATTGTACTGGAATTTCGGGCCTTTCTTAGTGACTGCAAGGATGTTTTGGATGAGGCAACAACAATGGACCTTCTGGAGAGGTATGAGTTTATGGGATGGTTCTTAAGCTAATGATTATGTTTTCTCTTTTGGACAACTACATATTCCTTACATGAACAGTTTCTTCTTTTGGTCTGTGTTCATTGAAATGTTGGAAATATCTTCAGGTGCATGGTTTTTACCTACTGAATCATTTTGTCAAATGTCTTTCTTACAAGTAAGAGGATATTCTGGTTCTTTATCTTTTCAAGGGATATTCATTTAAGGATATTTCTGTTGCATGCTATAACTATACGTCATAATTATTTCTTATGCTTGCATGAAGAACTACATATAGTATTTGCGATTGTCAAGTGCACCCTGTCACCAAGGGGTTACAGCCTTGCCCTAAACAACGTTTGCTCTAATTTTTACTATGATTGAATTGATCCAGTACATAATAGCATCCAAATATGCTAGAATTCACCTTCAATGTCTATCTAATTTCTATATGCCCAAGCTTCACATGAATTATACATTTTGATTTTAATAGTTTATAGTTAATAATCTATTTGATTGTAGATTGATTTTATTAACATAAATCATGGTTTAACACCATGCTTTGTATGTAATATGCCACTATGAAATGTAACCTTCAAATGCATTGATTCATACATTACAAAGCTACATACATTAGTTTTTCCCGACAGTAAACACATGAAAATATGGCTCATTCTATGTGCCATACATTCCAACGCTACAGACAGATAGCACTCGCCTGAAAAGTCTATATCTAATCTTATATATGTTCAATAGAAAAGCATTAAAATGCATAAATGCCACATTATGAATCAAGTACTTAGGGAGTCACATTGCATTTGGATTCTTGACTCATACTTGGCAAATTGTTGGTTAACTTCTCAGTAGATATTTATGCATATATTTAATTTAGAATGTTATATTAGTGTGGGTTATTGGATTAATGGATAACATACTTTAACTTTTTGTAAACATTGCAGGCATGGTAGAATTGATGAGTTGGTCTTCTTTGCTGGACTAAAGGAGCACTATGAAATCGTCGTTCACCATTACATTCAGGCATGATTCATTCTTCTGTACAACATTCCTGAAATTTTGTAATGAAATCTAAAGCTATATGTTTCATTTTATTTATTTATTTAAAGGCAAATATAGACAAACTAATTCTTGAATTGGTTTCGTATCTTTCATTATGATCAGTTTCAACATAGCTAGTGCTCTATAGTTAAAAAGAAGTTCAACTACTATTCTTTGGAAATTATGAGCTAGTTGACAGAGTAGAGCCTTATTTCTTAGAAAGATTGTGATGATTTTTGTTGAACAGGATTCGCACTATGTTTAGCAATTGATGCAGGATCACTAATGATTAGCCTGCAATAGAGCACAACTTCTTATATTATTGTGAATTTAGATAGGAAGCAAGATTGAAAATTTAGAAAGTAAATTTCAATCGTGAAAATGTTAGTAAAGGTTTTAACTATTGATATTGATAGCAAGGTCTTGAGATCAAGTCCTGTCTTCATCACTTATCTTTTGCCAAAAACATAATATTGTTATAAATCAAAATGAAAAATATATCCTACAATTAACATTAGAAGAGCAAAGAAGTGAGTATATACTATATAGCAAGGTGTGCAATATCGTACCGTACCGGTGTTTCGAGGTTGGCTCGGTACAGTATGTCACTAGCGTACTGAGCGGTACACCAAGGCGTACCGAGATATTTCCTCTTACTGTAGCACTGCAACAGTGTATTACTGTAGCACTATCCGTCCGGTAGCGGGCGGTCCGCGTACCGGTATGCCGTCGGACCGGTACGTACCGCCCGTACCAGGTAGTACCATTCGAAATTGCATACCATACTATATAGTATGATAGTGCCTTGTCAAGCACCAATACAACTATCGACAAGGGTAGTAGTTATCACAGTAAAAGAAAAAAAATAAAGAAATAGGTGGAAAATAAGTAGAAGTGGGGAAGAAAAATTAAGCAATTCCTTTTTTGTTTGACTAGGAGTCTGATTTAGATAGAGAACATTCAATTGGTCTAGTTAACCAACCATTTTAGCACTCTAATATCATGTTATCAGAGCTTCTAGAAACCATCTAGTAATAGTGATGCAAATATGTCTGAAAATACAAGAAAAATGTAAATTTTAGCCAACAACCAAAATCCTAACAAAAGCATAATCTAAACTTGACAGGCATCACCTTTTTTTGACAATGATTATTTTAAAGGATGACTTTATTGTTATTGTTACTTGTGATTTGTTGAACTTCTCTTGGTGATAGCTGATTTCTTTCACTTTCTTGTAGTCTTGACATTGGTTCAAGTACTCTTCTTTTAAAAGCCATCTCAAAATGTTTCTCTGTGTCATTTCAGTCAGTTGGGCATTACTTGTTTTTGGTTATTCTGACTAGTATGCTTTATCTAGTTACTCATTTCAAATGTTAAAATAATCAAATCTCTAAAGATGTGGGGCCTACCAGACTACCAGTAACGTACAGTTGTGGGCTCTTTTGTTGAGAATAAACAAGGTGTTCAATCTGATACAAAGTGTTGTGCTGATATTGTGTTGGCATGGAATGCCACTTAAATCCATAATATGTTTCATGAAGATTAGTGGAAACATGATACACTCGTAAAATCTGTTTTTTATCTGTGATGGCATCTTGATCTGCAGTGTAGTTCACATGAAGTTTGTTGACTATCTGAATTTTGAAAAGGCAGAATTTGAACACATCCACCTATTCAACTTATACCCTACTGACTTTTAAATTAGCATGCTGTAATGACTAGAAAAGCTGACGCGATATTGTATTCCTTTTTGAGTGATTGTTAGCAAGGAGAAACAAGGAAAGCTTTAGAGGTGCTTCAAAGACCCAATGTCCCCATAGATCTTCTGGTATGGGTTTCTGCACTGAGAACATGTTGAGCTACTTTTTTTTTGTTCTCCTATTTTTTGAGGGAAGGGGGATACCTGCATACAATTTATTATAGTACACTGTATTATATTTTCTCTCTGAAGAAAATATAGTAATTATGATCCTTATACTGATGTGCTGTTTTATACATGTTAAATGCAAATTCTACTTGTTTTGCAGTATAAGTTTGCTCCTGATCTTATTATGCTCGATGCTTACGAGACGGTTGAATCATGGATGGTTACAAATAAGCTGAACCCCATGAAGCTAATACCAGCAATGATGCGCTATGCAAGTGAACCACATGCCAAGTATTGTTAATTCAGTCTTTTTGTTACATATAATTAATTTAGCTGCACTGTTCTCATAGTTTATCTTGTTTGGTATATTCCATTTATCTTTCAAATGGAATTCTCATTAGAATTGAAGAGATTGATGGACACCTGTACTCCATAATTATCTTAGAAATGTTTTCTTCTTGATTCAAGTTTAGTTCCTCTACTGCAAGATAGATGGTCTAGCTTCTAAGATTGAATTGCATCATCATCTCATTGCATTATTCAAATATACATGTTAGGCTTTTACAGAACAATTATTGCAAATTTGGTGTGCACATGATGTTGCTTTATCTTGGTTTGTATGTTTGAATTTCTATTCGCTTATGTCATAGTTAGCCCTTTCACAACCTTTAGGAGTATGTCAGGCTTTTCTCATCTTAGTTCACATTATTAAGATACTATGGCTACTATGACCAACTACATTCAACATGAATTTCTTCGGTGAGTAGAAGTTGTGTCGAATCTCATCACTGGCTAATGTTATTGTATGTATGGGATTGATAAACAGTATGAATAACAATTAACTTCCTTCTGGATGAAGCTGAACGATTGGTGCATGTAAGATAGGATTTGAGAGAGGCCCAGCAGGTGAATTGAATATTAAAGTTTAAGAAGTTACTTTTGACTCTTAGGTTTATTGAAGCATGCCAAAAAGTTGTGATGTTGGAGTTCTTATCCATGTAATAATTAAGATCTTAATTGAATGAGAGAATTAGTTTTATGCAGGTTTTTTTTGATGGATGGTGATTAAACAATTCTACAATGCATGCAAAAGAAGATAGAATATTGGAAAATTTACATCGAGTTGAAAATATATAAAAAAATTTAGTTCAATGCAGATTGATAATAACAACCTGAATAATTAGCACTAGACAAGTAATGCTTGCAGATTTTCTGCAACAGAGTTGTCTTATGCATTAGGCTCACTGTTG